ACTAATTTCATGGCTTCTGGCATCAAGTATTGCAAAATTCCACGTCTGTAAATTCTGAACAAACTTCCCGTTGTGGCAGTAAACAGCCATACCCGCACGTTCAGAGGAGAACTCCGGCAGGATTTTTATGGCAGCCCACGAGAAAGCGTAAGCCAAACGCGGAACTTTGCGGCTTGGGGATGATGGCTTAGCCTCTCCAACGCCAGCTCCGGCGTCCTGAATCTCATGTCCAACATCTGCCCAAATGAACGGCAGTGTTGCTGTTCGAGGGAAATAACTCTGAAACCCCGAGCCCTGACGCTCGAAGCTATCTTGAGGAGTCCCTCTTAGTCAAAGAACAAATTGTGCCCAAGGTCTAGCGTGGGGATGTCGAGAAACATCTGCAAAGAGCCCACAAGTTTGCAGCGACTGTGGAACATCGGATCGGTGTCCATGCCAAGAATGTCATGAAAATCCGACAGCGAGCACATCATACCAATAGATGTCACCAACTCTATACGCAAACAAAGCTGCCAGACCCAACACTGTTACCCAAATCCTAAACCCTGCACACCAAGTGAACAATCTCAATTCTGGCTATTCCATCCTTATGTATGTCCACCCTAGAATACGAGACCCCCAGCCCCCCATACTTTGCAAGCAAGAATCTCATATGGAAAAAACTAGCAACCTCTACTGATGCAAAATGGAAGTTCTGAGTGTATTGCGGTTTGCAATGTACTTGGTATGGCGGTTGCGATAAAACATCTATCTGCCTGCGGCCTCTCCTGAAGCATGCGAGGGTATAATAAGAGCCAAAAGGCCAAACAAATTTCAAAACAACCCTAGAATGCTTAGGCACCTAAGACGCGAAAACCCAAAGCCTAAAAACCCAAGCCTGAAACCCAGGCTCCTCAGGACATGGTTTAGGGCTTCGGGCGCTTTAATGGCTTGTGGCGTTTGGGGTTTATGGCGCTGCGGGTTTAAAATTTTGGTATCAGGGTTTGAGGTTTAAGGCGGTCTAGCTGTGGTGTGCCAGAAAAGCGATGTTGTCAAGCAGCCAGGCGGGGTCAAGCGTAACGTGCTGTGATTCTGCTGGCTCATCTCTTACATCCATGCACGCCAGCAATCTCAGGCGGCCAGCAAATCTACACGCACTGTTCCTTGTAGGGTTTAGAATCGAACTGACTTTAGGACTCAAGTACTGCTTCTAACTAGGCTTCAACCCATTATCACTTACAACCATACTTATACTTCGCCTAAACGGCCTCATAGGGGTGACCCACTTATGTCGGGTTACAGCCCAATTAACAGTACTTGCCAACTACATCCCACGAGCCTCTAAACAAATCGCTGAAAACAAGATGAGACCATAGGTAGCCCTAAATCCTCGGAGAAACCTTTGCGTACTACGAGCAACATATCCAAGGGACTTCAAGCATTCAAGCCCTGCAGAAGTTCTAACATTGCTGCACGCCTCCAAACCCTGAATCCTAAGCCATCAGCCCAAATACTTTGCAGATCGTGTACCACCTTGGACTTCAAATTGCGCAAGCCCGGCTCTCTCTCAAACTACAAGGAAAAACGAAGAGATTATTGTGGAGATCAATTCCCTACTTAGTTTAGCTTTGCCAGCGCTAGAGGTTTGCCAGGTGTTTAAAGGATATATATATATATACATATATGTAGATACATATATATATATATACACATATATGGGCCTAGTATATTGATCGTTCTCGCCTACCATCACTGGGTGGAGGACTCACCGAACTTCTGGGATCCCAGAATAGGATCGGGGTTTACAGTAAGGTTGGATGTTTTCAGAGGGGACACTGTCCAAACGCTTTCAGTCACATTATAGCTGCTCAATAATTGGGATAGCGTGCGGCCATACTAAGTGTTTGGGTAAGTGGAGATTCGAGAGCTTGAGGAGCCTGCTATATGAGATTGTTTCAGGAAGCCCAAACTTAAAGCGTAGACCTCAATACCTGCATATCCTCATATGCACTTCACTTAAAGGGTCCATAAGTACACAATCTTCTTTTAACTCGCATGCGGTCCCTATAACCAAGGTCACAACCCAAATGGCCAAGCCATCTGCCCTACCTTGCACCCTACACACCCTGAACCCTACACCCATGCCTATTCCCCTTGGAAATGAGCCTTGTTGTCGTGACTACAGAACCCCAAACCCCCAAACAAATTACAAGATCTCTAACGTGGACTCGCATGAAACAAGTCTCCAAAACAAGTCTCCTGCGACCAATCTACCGCGTCTGATGTCACCACGTACGCGGCCAGGGCCTTCGCCGAGTCGGGGAGTTTTGAGGGTCTCCAATTGGGGTGCCCTTATCGCACCTTTAAAGGGAATGTTGGGATGAAGGGCTTAGGGTGGTGTTCTCACATCAGAGGGCCTGTAGCCACCGTAGAGATATACGTGGATTACATAGAGACCTTCTGAAGGAGGGTGGGTGCTCTAGGAAGGATTCTATGGGTTCATTTTGAAAAGCTTCCAGACGAGGTTTGGGGTGTAGTGCATTGTGAGGGGCTTAAGATGATGTTAGCCCTGGACTAAATTTGTAGTTTATCCCTTAATAGGTCCCCCCCAAAACACTATATCGTCCCCTATAGGCCCCCCCTATAGGCCCCCCCCAACCTAGATGTAGGGCCGCACCCATGGGCTCCAGTTGCAGGAGGTGCTCAAAGGGGGATATTTGCATACTAGTAAACAGGAATTACCGATCCCTTCCTCCATTTCCTACTAGCCACGGCTTCCTACAGACGTAACACATTGGAGCTTCTGGTCATCGAAAAACCGAACTGGAGCTGCCTTCACAACCCAACAGTACAGTTCGTCAGTCACACCCTGGCTTGCAGGTGCAGCTTTAGTTGGGGGTTTCTTGCGATCAACACCAATGCTTCATGGTGACCCGTTTGGTTCCCAGGGTCTCTAAGCGATTCATTTGGGAAACCCTCAGTTGAGCTGCCACCCCCGGCTGTCCTGTAGGTCTGACTCCTATGACATTCCTGCTTATTATCCGAGGGTCCTTACTTTGCGGTCCAGTGAACCCGGTTATGACTAAGATCTTGCTAAACAAAGACTAGATGCAAGAAAGGCTTTTAGCACTCACCCGGAGGTGAAAAGGAAATGTGAGGTTTCACATCAGAGATCATACGGGGAGGTGTCAAAACAGGTCTCCCTTAATCTAGGGACCAAAGCGGTTTATGACGGTCCCCTTAGGAATTGCGTATGGCACAGGAAATGTTGCAGCAGATCTTTCGAGAATGGATCACTGTGTAAAATGTAAGACAATCACCAATGCGCCCTGCAATGACCCTACACCGCTCCGTCCCCAGCAGGATCCTCTTCCTGAGCAGGTTTCTGCACTGGTTACTACTCTTCAACACCCGTGAGCTCACCTTCCTCTCTAAACAAAATACCCTGCCCCAAAGTAACACAGAAAGCCAAAATAGCTATTCTTACCTCGAATCAAGCAGCCCCCTGGCGCCTTGCCAAAAGGTCCGTCAAAGGCCGTGACCAGCGCGTCTCCAACAACGGGGTGCGTCTTTAGGACGGCCGACACCTTTCAGGTAGAAATCACACTTTAGAACTGACAGGAATTTGAGAACAAATACGAATTTCGTCGCTGCGCAGCTTACCATGCTTAGTTTTTAGGATTTGGGGTTATGGGAAGAGCCAGGATGAGAGCATTTGGATTTGGGAGGTATGAGAATAATGAGGATAAGAATAATTGGGGGGTGTACAACACGCTTCGAAGAGTTTTATTCTGTTCTTAGGATCTGGGAGTTGGGCTCAGAAACACTGTCTTCTGGCAAGCGGCCTCCTCACACTCAATGCGAACTCCACTGATCTTGACCTGGAAGTCATTTCGGCCCATGTAGTGGTAGTCGCCATCCACAACCTGCTGACATGGAGTCGCAGGGGTCAACCTCTGATTGTGTTGGGCGGGGGAAGCTGCAATTTACTGCAGTATAGCCATGCAGATTGAGGGCCTCAGATGATTCCTACCTGGCATTTCACAACATGTTCTCTCAAGAAGGCCTCAGGCATAACCGCTGCCTACTGCACGCAACCTAACACCAAAACCCAGACTTCAAGGCCTCGAGGCCTTGTAATTTGAAGAGGGCTTTGGGACGCATTGCACGCTACCAGGAGATGATGGTCCTGAAATGTCTGGCTGCTACCTTACATCTTGGAAAGTCCTGATCTTACGTCTGGAGTAGCCAAATCAAGGCCTGAACGCCTAAACTCTGCACGACCTCCTGCAAACTTACCGGTGCTTAGACAATGGAGGAATTGACTGACCCCTACAGTAGTCCCGATAGAACTCCTGACAATAACCTACCCATTCCTTTCTTTCGTTCCCTCCTAACCACCCCTCAACTTAGGCCCGAGGCTCTAGACAATATGCTAATTTCCATGTTCCATTCCCACATTCCAGCGTGCATCCCCACCAAACCACGATGAGCCCCAGGTCCAAAAAAAAACGCCCGCCCAACCTCACCAGCCCTACGCCTAGCCTCAGCTACAGAGCCCTCAATAGCCAACTCTCACACATGGAGAACGAGCCCTAAACAAGGAACCTGGAATGCCTGCACCAAGAGCCCTGGCCCAGCCCCAACTACGGAACCTTCAACAGAACTTCAACATGGAAGGTCCACCTTGCAGAGATCTCCGGTCTTGTACAAGGTGAAGGGAGACGCACCCTCAGGGGCCTGCGTCTGGGGCCGCACAGCACTTTCCCTAGCGTTGATAATGTAAATCCTGCATGCCCTACATTTCCAAACTGCCATAAACCACAAAGGGTGGAAAGTTAGGGTCATGATTGACTCTAATATCAATAGTATGAAACTTAAACAAAGTGTGGAGTGGCGGTGGCTACAACACGTTTCAACCAACCATTTCACAAGATTCAGGGGGTTACATGAGGAGGGCATGAACGCTGAGAACGCTCAAGGACTCTTTGAATAGGCTCTGAACGGTCCCCAGCCCCCCGCACGAGCATGAAGCTCTACAGGCTTTTCGGCATGTAGACTCTTCCAATCCCTTCAAGACCATGCGTAAATGGTCCGTGGCCAGACTTCGATGCAACCCCAAATCATATCGCATTTATGTATACACTCCGATTGGTCTTATTGTAATCATCATGGAGTGCTCAGAAATACTACATTACCTGCACTGCTTCCTTTTTAGGATACCATTCGGAATCTTATGTTGCCGTGTTCCTCATTGGGTTTTAGTATACTCAAATTATAAAACAACATCTCAAAACAGTGACTTAGTTCATGCCGTGTACAGGAGCCTTAGCACAGAGGCCTGGGAAGTTGAAGAAGGCAGCCTTCATGCGCAGATGGGCTTTGGGATTGTTCCATTGAGGGATGAAACACACATGCACAAGGATTCTGTGGGAATCTATGAAGAGCGCAGGGCATGGTAGGCACTGCGTGGGCGCCAGATCACGATCAAGCACCCAAAACTGACTGGAAAGTTCCCTCAAGACTTGAGATCGCCAAAATGCCGAGCCTAATGCAGCGGCTGATAGTTAGAATGCAGTTGTGGGGCACATTCTACTACACATATAAGGTAAGCAATCAAGCTTCGACATTAGTTGACCGACCACATCTAAACCCCCCCACAATTATGAAATTCCCGGTCTGGAACACAGTACTCAACGCACCTACAATTGTTAAATCCGCGTTGTGTAGAGGCAATGACCTATAAAATCCAATGATAGATGGTGTCGTGTGTTGAAGGTTGAAGGGCAATGCTCCCCAGGAGATTGTTCAATCGAGTGGGGGGTGTCATTATTGCGAGGTCAACATTAATCAAGCCGTGAAAATCCTGCCACACACAGACCCCTGAGTCCCTTCCCATCTGCAGACAAATGCTGCAAAACCTTTCGGACTCGCCGAACGATTGCACACACGGTAAATGGTCTTGTTGCAGATTGCCGCTCTTGCTCGTCTTACTCTTCTCACTGCTGTCTATTTTCCAGCTGGTTGTACCGATAGCCCCGAACCCAACGTGGGCCTCTGCATCGAAAAAAGGAGTTCAACCCGGTTCAACCCTGAATCAAGGTCTGGAGACCCAAACTCCTAGCCACCTAAAACCCTACTGTTGAAATTATAACTCCTGCATAAAGTTGGACAAAGGTTTTGGGTAACTCTGGGTCATGTAGAATTTCTGAGAAGCATCATTCCTACATTGTATGGCTTTGCGCTTGCGACTTCAATACCCAGATGAAGACCCCCCCTGCATCCTGCGATGGAGATCCCCGAGCAGCCTCTAGCATAAGAACCGCGTGGGGCTATAAGTCCCAAAGCCCAGGTCGTGGATGCAGGCTAGCAACACTACAGTTATGACCACACATGAGCCTCCAGGTAACTTTTAGAAACTCGCAAATTGAGATGGATTGCGCAGGGCGGTTTGCTTAAAGGCCCGTTATTTAGTCGGGGAAGGAGAAGTCTACTGCAGAATCACGGTACGAATTCACTGGATACCACAACGCCGAACCAGGCTCCAATGCTGAAACGAACTAAGCTCTGAACCCTTGACCCTAGAAAAGCTCTAACGACAGTCCCTAAAACCATAGCCCGAACCAAAAATTCTTGATGAATATTTAAGCAGGATTTTGGGTGCATACTGTGCTATAGCTATACTAGGATGGTAAGGCACAATGTTGGTAATTATTCAGGCTACTACATTAAACACACTGTAAACCCCTAAGGGACCACGATTTCAATTTGCCTTTCCAGGCTTTTAATTTGATTGTCCTATTGATAAATGAAGGCTCAGGCCTCTACAGCGCCGACCTAGCCCTACACCCGAATGCCTGAACCCTAAACCAAGGCTATTCACCAGGTTTATCATTACCCAAGACCCTCCAAGGAAAGTAAAGCCTGAATAATTACCAGTATGATGTTGAGGTCTAGTTGGAGTATCCTATACTAGAAGAAACGGCAGGGGACCATAGTATTGGTCATTTCTCCTATAAGTCCCTTTGTAACCCCAACTTCCATGTCATATTTCAATTTGTTGCTTGATTCTCTCTGTTTGGTCAATACTTCATCCTAAACCCTGGAGAACCCTATACAACCCCAGTAGTTTCCATGTCAGTTTACGTTTGATTTCCATTTGATTTTTCATTGGTCCGTCTGATTTTCATGATTAGATTACTATTTCTGTGTCTTAAATCTTGTGATTACCGCTAGTTTCCAAGTTGCTTTCCAATTTCCCTCCACACACCTAAAACCCGTCTCATACCCCTATATACCCTCACATCCCCCTGAATCCCGTCTGTCCCCCTATATACCCGTACTACATTCAGCGGCACATAGACACATACACATACATATACATATACATATACATATACATATACATATATATATCTATATACAGATATATATAGATATGTATTAGTAATCGCTGTGAATGGGGGGGTGGAGGGAAATATAGATTCGCAAACTCCATAATCCTTGCTAACGGGGCCTCAAAAATGGCAGCACTAATTTTGAGAAACCCTAATCCCTGTGTACCACTATGTAATTACAATTGCCACTTAATTTGTCATTTCCTTGTCCTGTTCATGTTCCATTGTTGGTGTTACTATACCCCTCTCCGAAACCTTCAAAAATGGTATCCGATATACTTAATCTCTGGTACGCCTTTAGACCCCTAAAACCCTAGAGAGAGAGAGAGAGAGAGAGAGAGATAGAGAGAGAGAGAGAGAGGAGAGAGAGAGAGAGAGGGGGACCAGCATCGGCCTCGCCAACCTCCGGGGGCACGGGGCCCAGATCGACTTCCACAGTGATC